CCCCCCCCCCCCCCTTAGCTACGCCCCTGCGTATGCCTTATACGATAAGCATACTCTAGGCACACGCTGAATACGCTAGAGGTACGCCAGATGTACGGTACTCATACTTTGGCATTTCAAAGGATTTTTGTGCGTATGAAAATTATTTAATTAATTTTCATACGCTTCTCATACGTTTCTCTTATACGCAATAGTGTGACAGGGCCTTAACATTGTCCATTATTCTTGCAGTTAATAGATGGCGTTTCCGTGGTTGGAACAAAGAAGCTTAGATTGGTGTTGCTGTCTGACATGTTGTTGTGTTTATCACCAGTCGGCAAGTAAGGAAATTATTCAACTGATTCGTACATTTACATTTAAGCGTAAAGTAATTGGGATTTTCCGAACAATTATTACCCCATTAATACAATAGACGGATCGGATCGCCCGCTAACAAGCATCATTCGTCTGGCGGATAATTAATAATTACTGGGTTATAGCGGGTTGAGCGTGATATTGAGAATTATCGAGGCCGATGTTGTGTTATCTGCCGGAGCCTTATAGGATTAGGATTGAAGTTGCACAATTGTAACGCCACGTTTAAATAATCCGGAGTATTGGAGTACGGAACAAAAAATGTTTTAAGCGATTCCACGTTGTTTAAGACTGTATATAGTTGTTTAATTTTCAATTTGAATCCGCTGGATAATCAGAGAACTTCATCAGTATTGCAAGCCACCGACAGGAAAGACACGAGCACAATGAACACTGTGCCACCGACATGCAGCTATCAATTATCAGTGAACTTTATTATTAAAGGGTCTGCATGATATGTAAACGAGTGGCTTAGTTTTAGCTACAGTACAATTATAAGATCAAAAATGCAATATTTAACCCATGCATTAATGCGCAAAATTCTCCCTTGAAGAGTAAATCATCTGGCGTTGTACTGAGTAAAATAATAAATTGAGGTGATTTAGGCGTATTGCTGCTCACTGAGTTATACTAAGATACAATGGAAGTAGATTGGTTACCAATTAGCGCACAGATGTCTCCCCTTTCCAAGTGAAATCATCTGGCGTTGTACAGAGTAAAATAATAAATTGAGGTGATTTAGGCGTATTGCTGCTCACTGAGTTATACTAAGATACAATGGAAGTAGATTGGTTAACCAATTAGCGCACAGATGTCTCCCCTTTCCAAGTGAAATCATCTGGCGTTGGACAGAGTAAAATAATAAAGTAGAGCGCAATTGGGCGCATTGCAGCAGGGATTAATGACAAAAAATTACATTATATACAATGTGGGGAAAGGCCGGGATATTCCTAATTCAATAGGAACAATTCATGAGGTATTGAGTTTGTTAATCCATATCATTTACCCATTTTTCAGGAAAAAGAGGATTATGCCAGGTCTTCTGAACACTCCCAAGTATAAGTTCAAGTTAAAGTGGAATGTTCCACTGTCGGACGTAGAGTTTGTAGAGTACGGAACTGGTGTAAGTGTGGCTGCTGGGAAGTATGGTACAATAACCACGTATTCTGAGCAAGGTAACACTATTGCCAAAACGTTTGTAATACAGTAACTAAAATGTTTGTGAAATTTGTGAATGCAGAATATGCCAGTACAGAAAATTTTTTTTAAGACGGTTCTATATTGTCGCTATATATATGTGAAACAAATATCCCCACGGAGAACGCGTCTTGTGATTAAAACAAATATTCCGACAGAAAACGCGTCTTGTGAATGCGTAGTCGTCAGACCAAGCGCCTTTTTTCTCTGAGTTCGCGGGTTCCATTCTTGTTACGGACTCATGGTTAGGGGGGTGCTAGAATTCAGGTTAGGGGGGTGTCTGCTAGAATTGCTTTGCGAAAGCCGATGATGCCCTGCAGGGAAAATGTTTTTTGGGCACTATTTTTCCTAAAAAAGTTGGCGAAATTTATTTTTTCAGACAAACTCATGTTGAAACATGCATGAAACCCTTATTTTTTTAACAATATCTGTAAAACTTAGGTTTATAAATTCTATTCATTTCCCTCTGGAAGCCCTGGAAGCTACTTAATAACTCTACATTCTATCATTTAAAATCTTTCATTGCCCTGCCAATCCAGATGATTTGCCCTGCCAATCCAGCTTTGGGGGCACCCCACACTCCCCCTCAAGTTTCGTCCCTGGAAAAGACTCAACGCTCTGCCGAAAGTTGTGGGTTTTCTCCGGGAGCTCCGATTTCCTCCCACTGGGAAAGTTGCATGACAGGGTGACTGTTAGGATGAACACAGTTAAGAAAGTAATATCACAATTGTTGTAATGGTAAAATAGTCCATGCTAAGTTTGTAATTAATAGGTACAGTATATAAGCGTAGTACTTGATGTAAAGTGCATTTGATCATATATCCACATGTAAATATTTGCTATAAGTTACGCGATCGTAGCTTTTTATACATGCGCTATTGTGTTTTCAGGAAAATATCGTCAGGCTACGGTGGAAATTCAGAAACACATTGAGGATCTTCAACATGACCTGGCCGTGATTGGTCAGATTGCTGGACTTGCGTCATCACTGAGAGGGAAACACCAGGTAAGCAAGTTTTAAGTGCATGGGATTGTTTTTTAAAGACATTGAAAAGATATTACCAAAACCACTGACGCTTTGTGTGGGCCGAAATAATGTAATTATGTTACCGCGTCGAATCATCTAGGACATTGCTATATGCCTATATCATTAAAATGTGAAACTATTATTAACTGGTTACAGCAACATATTTCGGCTGCTGGCCTAACCAAATGCAACATTTAAACGATGCTATTTTTTAATATAAAAAATATATTCCTCACTATTTTGGTGTTTGAAGAAACTATGACTTTTTAAACAGAACATCTATAATGGAGGTCTTTAGCGTTAGATTGTTATACATGCAAGTATTCCAGACATCCGTGCATGGATCATTGAAAAACACTAAAAACGCATTAATAAGGTCCTTCCTCTTGTTACCGTTCGGGCGAAAACCATGGCACTTATTGTAGAGTATTACCCTTTCGTACACTTGACGTCACCTTCGAGCATTTTAGAGAATTTTCACCTGCTGAAGTTACGTATTTTGAAACTTATCCTGTTCGACGAAAGAGATATTTCTAAGCTACAAGAAATCAAGAATATATGTAAATTTTTTTTACATTTCTAAGTTCTATAGGGTATCTGTAGGCTGTAATCTTAACCCTATTGCTACTATACACTGCAATCCCAACATTCAAAGTTGGTCATTTCTTATGTTTTAGCTCCTAGATCAACAGAAGGTTGAGCGATGGTACAAATCTGTTGAAAATACGATCACTGAAGAAATGAAAACCGTAAACATGTTTTGGCTTGAACTGTCGCTGCCTACGAAGTAAGTTGCATTGATCAATTGCTTTTTTTTCGTAGTGCAAACTGGAAACTGTCCTTGATATTATGCGTACAGCCTTGAAATTTTCCAATGAGAACACAGCATTTGTATCATGTGACGAGGTGATCCACCCCAGTGGGTGATAAGCGATTCCCGCGCATCACCGATTATTCATGCAACAATCTATACCCGTACCGATTCTGTAATGACGTCATAATGTCTATCCAGTGAGTAAATCTATAAATGTGACGTCTTCATTTCGATTTTTTAATTAACGATATAATTTTCAACCTAACATCTTACTGCAACCAAAGTTCGCTAAAACCGTTCCATAAATGGCACGCACCACGCATTAATTTAACATAGTGCGTTTAAAACGCATCGTGTATCAACGCGCAATGTATATAATTCTTAAAGTACAGTACCTGTCGCGAGTCAGGGTACGGGTAGGTATTTTCTCAACAATTGGTTTTCCACAATCGGAAATACAGATAATTCTACCAATTCTGATTGTCTACTGAGAAGGCAAAAGTCAGCCCGATACAATCACAATGGTTAACAATTTTCAAACATCACTCGTAAGTGTTAATCTTGTACTCCTTATCACATGATTACCTATACAAATATCGAGAAATAATAATAATAATAACTTTATTTACGTGTCAACCGAAATTGCAGTTAATTCCACAAATGGGGACACTGAATGAGGACACAAATAATGTAGATTTCACGACAAGAACACGTAGTGATACCATGTACAAACTCTAGCACATTTTGTGCAGAGATTCTCCCTCCTGAGATGAAGTTCCATGTCAAAATATTTTTCAGATCTGGTCAACATAATTATGTATTCAATCTCTCCTCTCCTACTGTGAAGGAAGAATGGCAGGCCGATGCTATGAATGCCAAATTGGCTTTGGGTAAGTTATTTTAATTTGTGTTAATGAAAAATAAGGGTCGACCAGAATTACGGGGCAAATGACTCTCAGTTCTGTTTGACCCATCCTTTATTTCAGTAAAGGCCATCCTTTATTCATCTAGTACGTGTTACTATAGAAGATAACCTAAACTAAAGTGACTATGCTTACACTTATTCTGGATAGCTCTGTCAGTTTACCTGTTTTCCCAAGAGGTCATGTAGCAACTAATCCAGTGTTAACAACAGCAAGAAAAGAAATACCTGTATTGTTTGGTATAGAGTAAAAACCAGAAGCATGCAATTCTGGCGAATTTATACTCACATCTCACATGCAATTCTGGCGAATTTATACTGCGAAAAATTATTTGTATTTCAAAGATGAATCCAGCCAGACGTGGTGGAGAGGGGGGAGGGGGTGGAGTTGCTCATCCAGCTTTGGTCATGGCTCACAGTACGAACGTATGATACGTACTCACTACTGTATAGCGAGCTAGGGCAGCCAGAAACTAGGCTTGACAATTTTTGTTTTTGTAATTGCTTTTCCAAATCAAGAGATGGACTTGGTAGGAATTGTCAATCCCCTTTCACTCCCACTTCGCCAAGGATATGAGGAGAGAGCATTCCCCCTGTACCATACCCAATAAATCCATCCCTGGTGTATTTCTGGAATCTCCAGTCGCAGAGGTATATGAGAGGCACAGCAACTGTGCCATCAGGGCTATCAAATAAATAAATAAATAATAATATAAAATTCATGTTCAATATTTTTTCTCTTGGTAGAATCCCGTAACAATCCAGGATGGTATCTTCCTGAAGATGATCTAACTGGCGGGCTCTCTATACTGAGACGTAATATGCCTCTGTTGGCTGAGTTCTTTGATTTGTTTATATTCAATACCAAATCCAGAGTAAGTTGTAAAGTATCATTATCATCATCATTATGCCTGGCATCCATTTTGTTTAAGTACCTACTGTACAGTATTACGGCTTCTGTAGCGCAGTGATCAAAGCAAGCGCCTTTCACCTTTAAAATGGCAGGATCGACTCTGGCTGCGGAGTCATGACACGTCGATAAAGTCAGTCAATGCTCCACCAAAAGTCGTGGGTTTTCACCGGCTACTCAGGTTTCCTGCCACAGGGAATGTTTGCAGGATGGGTTAGGATCGAACATGAATCATACGCTGGCAGTCATGCAGAGGCGCCCTTCGTAAGCCTTCGACCCCAATCAGGTTTAGCTGCGTCCATCGTAATTCACCTGAAGTCTCAGCTGCAAGTGAGGATGCATGATTAACACCCCGCAAGACTGGTTTACCTTTACTATAGTTGTTTTCGATAACATTGTTTCATCACTTTAATCAAAGTTTGACAAAAATATAGTATTATTGTCGATTTCAACTTACTTTTCACTAAAATGTTCCAAACTTCGTTCCGAACTTCGCAAATTCGTTGCAATGTTCAAAAGCTCATAATGAAATTTACAAATCGGTTTCTAAAGTGATCATGAGCATTTGATTGGCTGGTTTCAATCAGAGGTCTTGTTTACAAACCTGCTTGTTGATTTCATCATGAACTTTTTCAACGAATTTGCAAAGTTCTGAACATTTTAGTGAAAAGTAAGTTGAAATCGACAATAACCGGCCTCAGTTTAGAATACTAGTCTGTAGGTAATTCATGGCATCTATAATTGCTACAGAGATACTGAGATAGCTGCATATTATCTGCATGCAGATCGGGCGGATAAGTTAAGCCTGGCAGAAGTAAAACATATTACTCATTTTATACATAATAAAACAATTTTTGAATTGAGTTAGGGCATGATATCGAGCATAACGAAGGCCTCCGTTTGAGTTATCATTCTCAGCTTTAAGCTTCGGTAGCCAACGCGAACTTCTACCATTATAATTCTCGATATCATACTTAATCTTATCCGATAATTGTTAATTGCCATTCCATATTCAACAGAAAATTTGACTTGTCTTTTCTAGGTTGAACATACAATTACCTATCCAGTTGAGGCCTCGAATATCTCGACATCTATACGGGGTCTAGGTTACTACGTGTGGATCAGCGCGCGCGGAGAAATGCAGGGTCACGTGTCGGTTGTGCGTTTTGACAGGAATGCATGCCTGCCGCGTCTCGTGGAATCGTTTAACGTGTGTCCTGGAACAGTGTATTCTATTGCTCATATACCGCCTATGAATTCCAGGCCTGACCAATCTGCTGATAAATATCATACGAAATATGGATTCCCATTCCCAACTGTTTGGCTGGGCAGTCATTCCAGCAAGTACGATCTTTATTTATTTTAATAGAGGTGGTGGTGCAGCACTGTGGCACCGAATAGATACTTAACAGAAGTTTGACTCAGCAAAACAAACATATCCGTCGCGCCATGATCAGTGAGCTCCAAGCAAGAACTGCAGTCATTTGGCCTATGAGAAAAGTGAAGCCAAGATGGCGGCCATTGACGAAAAAAGGTCGATTTATTTAATTTTTTTATGATTTCTTGCAGAATATATATTTATGACGCTGATTCTGACGACAGAAGTCGACCGCTTATGGAGCTCAAACTTAGGGACGCGCCACTGGCAATGAAGTAAGTTTATTCTTAATGAGTATTTTCCTATGTATATGTGCCGTGTAATTTATCATCATTTAACAGGTATGTACGGAATGTTGTTATAAAAACATCTTAAGTGAAGACCGTGTTTTGTTTGCCAGAACAATAAAAGTCTTTCTTGTTCTCAAGTTTTCCTTGGCGGCCGTAACACACGAATTAACAAATTTTCCTTGTCCAAAAACTGGCACGACTTGCTTTAGGACAAGGCTCGAAAAACTCATTTTTTGACGAGCAAATATAACTTGTTATCGAAAACGTGTCAAGGAAAACTTGCTTGTAGACATACGGAACTGAACATTATTGCAAGTTTACTATTAACACTTTTTTGCCCCCAAAAGAGTCAGTTCGGAGTCTTGAAATCAAAGGATCAAGATTACCGTACTGAGTTGGGACGTTAAAATTTAAAAGAAAGCAAAAGTAAAGGAATATACATAAGAAATTAACCATTTGAAAATTGTTTTCACTTTTTATAAATAAATCATTTGACTTATCCGTTAACATTTGAATTTCCTGCAAAGGTATGCAATGAGGAAGGTCTATGTTGGCTTGGCAAACGGAACATTGGCAATATTTCGCTCCAACACGAGTAAGTATATTAATTTACTGCAAATTTAATTTTGGTTTTTAATAATTCATCTTCTTTGCCATGCACGAACAGGTATATGGCCTGGGGGATTTCACAAGTACCGTGAACGCTTAATTCATGCAGGGTGACCGCATGGACTGTGCATTGGTGACCGCATGGACTATGCCCTTTCGTGCTTGGTTTGGTACACTATAATGAATACTATAATAGTTGCATACTAAGCTGACCGGCCATACAATCATTGCATGCAAAGTTCAAATATATTCTCCTTTTTACTTGATATACTAACCAAAATTATTAGTTTTTGCATGGTGAAACATGTTTTGAAAATGTTTTGGGCGTAACGTAACTTCCAGAATTCTATTTCATGACTTGACAAAGTAATGCTTGACACTTGATTAGAAATATATCTGCTTATCATCAGACAATATACACATGGTTACTTTAAACAAAATTATTGGGCATGGGAAATTTCCTTTCCGGTCGTAATTTTCAAAATTTTCTGGGGCGCATGCCCCCAGACCCCATTACTTAATCTCAACATCAGCTCTCCCAATCGTAAATTAGTATATCTGTTCTAAGTTTAGTTATGGCTATTTTGTACAAATTTTCGCAACGCATCACCGGTTTCCATTGATTATCTTACCAGTGACCGTTTAATATAGTCACAAAACAATGAAAAATTATATGTTTGGGACTGTGCGAAAGGTCAGACCGTGTCCGATTGATAGAGGTGACCGTTTAATAAAAGTCACTTCAACAACAGGCTAAAATCCTGCTTTTTCCGCTTGCTGTGTAAAACGTTTACCGATTACTCAATATCTAACGCACGCGAATATGTTGAAGTTGGATCACCCTTTTTTATATACACCTCTACAAATACAGTTTATAAAATAGCCTTTTAAAAACACGGGCGCTGATTGGTCAAAAGCTCAGGAAACCCGTATTTCTGTAACTCGATAGAAACACGGGGGAATTTTCGCGCGGGTTGCGTGGTTTGAGCGGGAGTTTAAACAAAATACAAACAATATTTAATATTGAAAAAAAGTTGGAAAACGTCCGAAAACGCCGAAGAACCGTTACATAAAGACAACGCTTTGCTAACTTAGAAAGCAAAAACCTAAAGCACAAAGTATAATACAGCATGCCATATATGTTGTATCTGTTTGACTGTTTGCCATGAAGGTAAGATATTTTAATTTTACCTTGTCTTTTTAATCATGTTTACTATCGTTTTTAATCGTTTTTAATCATGTTTAAACGTTTACTAACTATTTAAAACAGTGCTTTCTTGCAAGCATGTACGTTGTTGAGTGAACTTTATACATTAGTAAGAAGCCTGTTAAGGTGGCTCCCTACAGTTTTCTAAAATTTTAAGTATTTTAGGTAACCTTCGTTTTGAACCAAATTTATATTGAACACACTTAAGACAGGGCAATATAATCATTTCCAGGAAAGTTCAGAAGTCTTCTGCTGTCGACATATGAACAAATAGGAACAGTGTTAGTGTTGCCATGGCAACCATGACGTTTCATCTTTTGCACTTTTATTGTCTAATTTTACAATCAAACGGCAATATCTTTTTTTTTCCTTCGGTCAATTTTTCTGAATTTTTTTTTAAAGATTTATGGTTGAAAGACGAATGACATATTAAAATTTGAAGGGATGTTTATAAGGCAGGTTTTGAGATATTCATGAATAACGACTACAAAAAATCTGTCTTATAGAATTTCTTGAAATTTTGATATGTTTGGCGAATCGTCATGCTTAGCAAACGTGCAAAGTTTAAAAAATTTTCACCAAACGAAATGCGAGAAAAATAGTCCTAAATCCAGTTGAAGCTGTTGACGTGACAAAATATCAATTCGACATGATCACTATTTGCGCATGCGTGTAAATTATAATGCGTGAGGAACACGAAACGTGTATGGTTTATAGTTGACTTTTTTGGCAATTTTCACTTTGATTTTTTGGCTTATATGTATCACACAGATATTTTTTACTGATTTGAACGGCAAATAAAATATATATAGGTCTATATATGTTCAAAATACGAAAAATTGAGAACACAATAACGCACTGACTTAATCCAACGTTTCTTAAATTTAGTTTTGTTGTGAAAATCGGTGTGAAAACTTTTCAAAACTTTCAAGTAGAGTTTGACTTTTCGTATAAAACAACTCGTAACTGTCTGCATTATAGTTTTATTGGATTCAGCAGATAAAAAAACTACATGTGAACTGAGTTGAATGACAGGATTTACGTAAGTTTCACTGACAGTTCAGGAGTGCCTTGAAGACAGTATAAAATATAATTTCAGTCCGTGACACTGTTGTTGAACATTGTGAGCATTATGAAATACAGTACTGAACGTATTAAATATATAAAAAAAACACACTGAATGTAGGTAAAAACTAGCTAACAATATACGTACTGTTCGAATGTTGAAAAGTTTAGGATTATAATAAAAAACTTGCGTTTTCTTTGTAGATAAAAATACAAAAACAACTTCCCGCGGCTTGTTTACTTGTTCACAGAATAGGAAGTTATACCAGAAGCGTAACTCTAGTCGTTTCCCTTATTGTTTGACGTTCACGAAAATTTTAACTCGCTCACGTCAGGCCACGCCATCCTGGCTAGTACAACCGGAAGTTTCTATCAGGATTTGGTAGGTACAAAATGCCGGTTGTACTAGCCAGGATGGCGTGATTGATGACGAATCGCTTGTAAAAACGCGGACAAATATTTGCTCGAGTTACGCTTCTGGTATAACTTCCTATTCTGTGACTTGTTTCAAGATTTTTACCGGGCCACGACGATTCCACGCGCGAGTCGCGAGGATGACGTCTGAGCTATATAAATATTTTAAACTGGACTATAACTGTAGGGAGCCACCTTAAGGTGTTAATTGATCTGTAATTAGATAAGCATCCTTTACCATCTGTACATATTTAAAAAGTTCGTTAGAAGCTAGAGGTCAAACATAGGCTATTTTATCTGAAGAGTGAAGAGTGCCACGTTATTCACGTGGTACGAAACTGTATAGTAATAAATATGCCAAACAAAGCTTGCTAAGTTTTTGTGTCTTTCTATTATGCTCTGGTTATCCATTGAGCACTCTATATCATTGGTTTTTATAACCTAACACAGACTATCTTATATATATATATATATATATATATATATATATATATATATATATATATATATATATATATATATATATATATATATATATATATATATATTTATATATATATTTATATTCAAACGGGTACAGTATTCAAATAAGCGAATAAGAGGAAGGATGAAAAACAACCTGTCATTAGTAAATTAAAGATATAATGGTTAGTAATTAGAGATCTAGCAAAGCATTAGAATAGGTCAAGAGGAGTTGACCTAATGTTGGCATTTAAAGTAGGATTAAGCTTGGACATAAAAAGGCTTTCGCGAATGAGCAAATCTGCTTCAGAACTAGCAGTGGAAAGGATTTTAAAATCAGAGGGTGAAATTCAATGGAAAAGTTCAAGAAAACCTTCTCTCTTAATGGTTATCCTGCAACACTTGTGGATAGTTGTATCAAATCATTTCTTGATAAAATGTATAATTCTCGTGATAAAGTTCATACTTGCTCGAAAAAGGTTATATATTTTTGTCTTCCTTTGACTGGTCATCGTGGTTTGCAAATTCGATCAGAACTTCAGAATTTTTTTCTTCTGCCTATCCACACCTATGCATTTCTTTACGTGTCGTCTTTCGTCCTTCTTTCCGTCTTTCCAATTTCTTTCCATTTAAGGACAAAATTCCCTGTGAAGTGAGATCACATGTGGTGTATTTGTGTAAGTGTCAATTCTGTGGTGCATTGTATGTTGGTCAAACTCGCCGACACATACACACGCGTATCTCTGAACACATGGGTATGTATGTATGTATGTAAAACTTTATTTCAATACGCTAACTTCGACAATTATTTACAACTGGTTTCCACGAAGGGCGTATACACACAAAGAGCTAAATGTTAATTATATATAGAACAAAATATGTAAGAATCCCACCCTAAAATTTTATCATCTTCCTCCCAAACCTCCACCCCCTAAACAAGTACCCACCCACCCTCACGCAAAAGTAACCCCCCTCCCGCCCACAATCTATATTGTCCTCCCATCATTTGGTCCTGGAGAAATTAGCTTATCATCTGCTTAAATGCAATTTCGCCATTGTTTTAAATGACGTAATTGACTCAGCCGCCTTGACATCTTGCGGGAGACTATTCCATAGAAGTGCTCCACTGTATCCAAATGTTTTCTTTAGAAATTCCGCTTTCGGTTTTTTTTACGAGAGATCAGTTTCGCTATTGCGTAAATCATAAATATTCTGCGATGCATTTCTCCGAGAAAAAAGATCTTTAAGGTTTGGCGCAGTGTGGTTCCCCAAGACTTTATACATCAATACTACACTGTAAATCTGGGAGTGTTGCCAGAACACCAAAATCGGTGTAAATTCTTGCCTCTGTGGGGACACCGAAAAGGTGTCAGTTAACACTGATTTCAGTGTTATTTTACACCTCTTCAGTGTAAATAGTTGTGTCTATATGAACACCCATTTGGTGTTAATTTGCACCATTCTAGGTTATTTGATGCTGCTTTGGTGTAAATCCGCTTGCCTCTGTGGGGACACCAATTTGGTGTTTATTTACGCTGAGAGGGTAAACTTACACTATCCTAGGTTATTTAACGCTGCTTTGGTGTAAATCCGCTTGCCTCTGTGGGGACACCAATTTGGTGTTTGTTTACACTGAGAGAGTAAATTTACACTATCCTAGGTTACTTAACGCTGCTTTGGTGTAAATCCGTTTGCCTCTGTGGGGACACCAATTTGGTGTTTATTTACACTGAGAGGGTAAACTTACACTGTCCTAGGTTATTTGACGCTGCTTTGGTGTAAATCCGCTTGCCTCTGTGGGGACACCAATTTGGTGTTTGTTTACACTGAGAGAGTAAACTTACACTGCCATAGGTTATCTAGCACTTCTTTGGTGTAAATCTACTTTCCTCTGTGGCGACACCAAATTGGTGTAAAGTTACACCTCGAAAGTAAACTTACACTTCCCAAGGTTTAAATATGTTTGCAGTGTAAAGCTTACTTTCTGGTGTTTAATGTAATGTAATGTAATGTAATTATATTATACCAATGTAGTAACAGTTAAAAATAAATTTATTACAAATTTAAACTATAATTATTTTTAGAGTTTAAAACTATAGTCTATATATACATATTTTGATTCAATTGAAGAATCATTTTAACAGTTTACATCAGTCACAGACTCACAATCCAAATTAAAGTTCATGTTACCAGTACAGGTGATTTGAAAACCAATAGACTTTGCTGAATGGCACTTTGACACAGTCAAAAATGAGGACACGTCACCATATAGCAGCGCACACAATCGACAAATGTTTTGCTGTAACTGTCCTTCGTTAAACATTAATGCATGGCCAACACATTCCCTTGAAAAATAATTATTTTGCATTACAGAATATTATGAAGAGTGCACTGCACCTTTTATGTGTTTAATAATATCAAACAACTTATAGATAAAACAAACTCAATCTAATAGTACTTTTGTTGGTGACGTGTCAGAGTAAATATTTGAGATTTTAAATAGGCAGAAAGTTTGGCTAAACTATCGATAGGTAACACTTTTTTAGGGGCATGTTACAATTTAACAAGGCGCATTGGCAAAGAGACTGGTTAAACAATTAACCAGAAGAGCATAAACTTTTCTGGCAGTAACATTTTCAGTTACAGTAAATAATAAACATAGTATATTAGACATTTTAAGTTTAATTGATTGTGAAGTTCTTTCCTATCATTTCAAATCAATATACTGTATTTTATTATAAAAAGTATGGTGCTTTATAGAGATTTCGAGCACTGATAAAAGTGATAATCACACATGTGAGATTATTCATGATAATCTCACATGTGAAAATTATCACTTTTCAATTATCGCTTGCTTTTCTGTAAAAATTATCGCTTTTCAAAGACTGTCCTTTATATAATAAACAGAAAAATACATGGGTGCTTGGAAATACCAGATTTATTTCTTGTGTTGAACATGATATCTCACTTGTTCGCTGCGCTCACTCGTGAGATATCATGTTCAACACTCGAAATAAATCTGGTATTTCTGGCGCACCCATGTATTATTCTCTATATAAACAACATCACTTTATAGCCAGTCTATATCCCATTTTAAATATCCTACATATATTTTATAATCACTCTATATCCAGTATGCGGCCGGAGAATCTGGTAGGATATTTTCCAACTATTCAGCATATCTGGTCTTCATGCAGCTGGATGGCAAAATGCTTTAAGCGGTGCATCCCTAATGCATATTAATTATTATTAAATAAATAATTTCATTCTCGTGGTAGTGGCCAGGGAAATATTATAACACACAACTCTAAAGCTATGATAAAAATTGTTCAAAATTCTAACTTCTTTTTAAGATAAGGCAATATTGGGGTGTTTTTCAAGGAATACATTTCTCCTGGTTTTTCAATCACAAATTTCCAACATTGATCAAGTTACATTATTCTGAATCACCAGATAAAACGTGTTGCTATCCAGCCAGATTTCAGCAATTTCGTATAGTTGAAAGATATCCAGTCAAATACTGTTGATATAATATAAGGTTTAGACTTTCATTTTTAAAGATAAATAATTATTTTAATTGGTTATAAAGTGAGGGTGTTTACAATACTTTGACTTCAAAAGATATGTGAAATCATAAAAAAGAGTTTTACTCTAAACAAGGGTATTGCCAAAGCCTTGCTCACAAATCTCAAAGGTCAATGCTGGTTTCTTCCAAAATACTGGATAGTAAGATTATTTTACTATCCACTATCTGCCGAGAGGGGGAATAGGGTCCTAACTTGAGATTAAGAGCCTAAAATTGAATAGGTTAGAGCATTCTTTAAATTGAGGACCCCTTACAGTAGCTCCACATGCAATCTAGTTAAGGTCTAGTCATGAGGCCCCCAAAGAAGATTTGCCCCAGGCCCAACAAATTCTCTCGGCAGCCCTGAGCCTGGATATGATATCCGGTACCGTAGCCTACATGTATAGCATTTCAAACCTTTGTCCAAGCACAGGTACATTCAGTAAGAATGTCATGTTATTCTGTTCCGTACGGTAGTACATTTTCAGAGGGCAATGTAAAGCTCTTATTTAGCAATAAAGACAGGTGCTTTGAGCTGACCTGCCTGAAAAGTCTCAAGTAAACATGGATCATGAATTTTTCTTAGTAGTTGGCACAACACTACAATGAACTCCAGATGGTATCTGGTCTGCCTCAGCTCCATATAAACACACAACTTGACCAGGGCCGTAGCTTGACCAGGGCCGATAATGTGGGGGGGGGGGATATTCATATATTCGTGTTCTGTGCCCGATGGATTTCTTTTGAAAGTGATTGTTTTTACGGTATGTGAACATGACTCATTTACTATTATGCCATATTAGAGTCTGTATAGTACTTAGCATATTGGGATATTTCTTCAGGGCAATCAGGGGTACACTATAATTTTTGAGCTTGGAATTCCTCAAAGGTATAAATATGAGAAACATAATGTTTGTGATGTTACTCTGAGTATATATCCACACAGGGCAAGCTTAAAAAAATATGCCTGGCCATGGTGGGAATCGAACCTACAAGCTTTGGAATACTAGCCCAATGTAGGTGAGTACGACAACCTGAGTACATGACACCAACACAGTAAAAATTATGAGAAACATATATCCTGAATGTATTCAGGGAATTCAGCTACATGCATATTTAGGGTTGTCAACTTGTCTGGAATTTATTGATAGCAAAATATAAATATTAAAGACAAAGGAGAAATTATTCTCCTCGCATACAAAGTCATGAACTTGCTTTGGAGATTATATCAATATTTGCTAAATGAGTCAATATTGATACCGTCTCAGTATTGCAATACATTATAAACAATATTCATACCTTCTAGTTGTAGCCTGTAGTCCAGTTTGTTGTCGTTTTATATATCATGATTTCGACAGTTTGACGTGCTTGAATAACATATTATGACAGTATTTATTGCTTGGAATTATAATCTGTAAATACAAAGCAAGATCACAAAGTTTTAATAACAATATATTGTTGAAACCAAATACAAAAATATACAATCGGCCAACGGCACGGCGGTTAAAAATATACATGAAATTATACAACAATTTATGGCACATATTTACACACGAAACTTCAGAATATTGACATAGTTGAACACTTACATTTAAAGTTGTTGTGTGGGTGTTCAAAAATTGGAGTATTTCTTCTTATCTTCTTCAATATATTAAGAAAACTTGGCCATATTCTCGGCCATATCAACAAGCGTTTATACCAAATTTCCAAACGATGCGCTCGAAGTGTGCCCGCTAAGCCTTCTGGGTGCCCATATATGGCACGCGTACTGCTGAAGGCACTGATCTCAATCATGTAGACAATCCAGTGCAAATTAAACTGTAGTACGGCAACCCTCACACTGAAGCCTTGGTAGTACGGTTTTTTATAGAGACTCTTAATTCTATCTTCAAAATTCTAGCTGTCTTATTTTGTACAGGATAAACACTGAGAAAGAGGGATTTATATCATATAATGTACACCATAGCCAGCGGGGCATATTTGGAGAGGGGGAGGGGGGGGGGGTATAGCCTGGCCAAATTAAAGTAGAAGTAACTAGTAAGGCGCCACCAAAAAAAGATTAGATTGGGAAAGCTTAATATATGGAGGTAACAGATTGCAATAAAAAATGAACAATGTGAGGTCTGCATGGCACCTTACAAATTAAAACGCAGAAAATCCCAATAGTTTAACACCCGGTTTAAGTTTACACCGTTTAAAGGTAGTCTTATAAAATATTTTCTACTTTACACTTTTACACCGACTTTTCAAAAAGCCCTAATGTGAAGGGCAGGCTGGTCAGTATATTTTGGTCCCCTTACAAACTTTTACACTATTCGAATTCTGGTGTATGTTTACACCTTACACTATCATGGTGTCGTCTCATACCAGTGCCGTAGCCAGAACGATAATTGGGGGGGGGGGACATATTCATATATTCGTGTTCTGCTTTATTAATTTCTTTTGAAATAAATTGTTTTTATGGTATGTGAACAC